TAAAGAATTCAAAACAATCAGCGCCCCCAAATATAAAGACCCGATTCAAAAATGGGCATCCGAAATGAACAGACATTTATCAGACAAAGAAGCAAAAGCAGCAAGTAAATATATGAAAAAAATGTTCCACATCACTGGTCATTCGAGAGATGCAGATGAAAACAACACTGAGATTCCACCTCACCCCAAAAAGAAAGGCTGCTATTAAGAAATCACACAATAACAAGTGTTGGCGTGGTTGTGGGGAGAAAGGAACCCTTCTCCGTTGTTGGTGGGAGTGCAGACTGGTGCAACCACTGTGGAAATCAATATGGAGATACTTCAGAGAGCTGGGACTAGAGGTTCCATTTGACGCCCGGCCTCCACTCCGCGCGCGGCCCCCGGGGGAGGAGGCTGCTGGATGCCCCCCGCCCCCTGCCCTGCGTGATCTGGGGCAACTCTCGACCCTCCCTGGGCCTGGTTTTCTTGGTCTATGAAATGAGAAGTTGGGAAACAGCCTGCAGCCGGGCACGGTGTGTCACCCCAGGGGCTCGGGGAAGCTGAGGCAGGAAGGTGGAAAGTGTGAGCCCTGCCGGGAGAATTTAACGATTTAGTGGGACCTTGTCTCAGAATAAAAAGGGCTGGGAACAGAAGACTTCGGTTCCATCCCTAGCACAGGAAGGAAGGAAGGAAGGGAGGAAGGGAGGGTTGATGGTGCACTCGGGAGGCTGAGGCAGGAGGATCGCCAGGAGTTTGAGGCCAGCCTGGGCTGCACCGTGAGTTCAATGACAGCCTGAACTATATGGTGAGGCCCCGTCTCCTCACAAAAAAAGACTGAATTAAGGAAGGAGGCAGGGAAGGAAAGGGCTGGGGTTGTAGCTCAGTGGTGAGCACTTGCCCACCATGCATGAGGCCCCAGGTTCCTCACCAGCACTAAAAGACAAAACAAACAAAAACCCAGCTACCCTGGGAATGTTAGGTGTCTATGTTAAGGGCTTAGGAAACAAACTTCTCGGGTTGAAAAGACCATTTTTGTCTCTAACGCTGTCAAACTATATAGGCTTATGGTTTTCTTTGGGCATGCCATTCCCTGGGCCTGGAACACCTTTGCTGTATGGAAAGCTCCTACTTATACATCAAAACCCCAGGCCCTCTACATCTGCACCTCGTTTTAACTGGGCCTTTTCTTTCTTTCTTTTTTTTTTTTTTTGGTACTGGGGAGCAAACTCAGGACCTTGAGGTTGTGAGGCAGGTGGCAGAACCTCTGAGCTAGGTCCCTGGCCTCTCGTTTTAGTTTTTGTTTTGGGATAGGGTCTCGATGTGTCACCCAAGCTGGCCTTGCACTTGTGACCCTCTTGCTTCAGCCTGTAGAGTACCTGATGTTAGTATCACAGGCGAGTTCCACCTCACCCAGCTCAGTCCAGTCAGTGACCCTCATAACGTCTCTCCGAGTGCCTTATATTCAGCAGGTGACGCGTAAATATCTTTTAACGCACCTCCTTGGACTGACTCCCTCTAACCCTTTAATGTGACACCTTGCACATGGTGGCAGACGCTCAGTAAATATGCCCCTGAATGAATAACTGGTCTCTTAACCTTTCCAGTCCTCGCCAAAGTGCAAAATTGGGGGAAGAAATAAAATGAGTAAAATTTCAGTTACTGAAAAAAACATTCTTAAGAAGAAAACCAATGGCTGGGCCAGGGATTTAGTTCAGTGGTTCCACTGCCTGCCTTGCAAGTGCAAGGACCCAAGTTCGATCCCCGGTACCAAAAAAAAAAAAAAAAAAAAGAAGAAGAAAATCAATGATAATAAACACAAAATAAGTTTATTGTGTTTACACGGCACAAATAAACTGCATATAAAACCAAAATAAAACAGCCAGGCATGGTGGCGCAAGCCTGTCATCCCAGCACTCAGGAGGCTGAGGCAGGAGGATGGTTGTGAGTTCAAGACCAGCCTGGGCTACATAGTGAGTTCCAGAGCAGTCTCATCTACATAGTGAGACCCTGTCTCAAAAACAAAGCAAAACAAAAAAAGACAAAAAAAAAAGGTCCTAACTCTAATTTCTGCCAGGCATTTTTCTGAGGTCTTTATCAGGTCTTTTTTCCATTCTCACAGCAGCCCAGTGACACAGGAGCTGTATTGTACCCATTTTACAGAGTGGGGAAACAGAGGCCCAAGGCAGGGATCTATCTACCAGCATCCCCAAGGTTGAAGGGGCCAGGGTGGGGCTTGGACTCAGGTGGCCTCCGCCTCTGTCACTGCCCCCCACCCTTGCGGCAGGAGGGAACGGGACGTCCATCGTAGTGGGAGAGATGTGGACCTGGGGCCCCATGGAGTCTGAGGTCCCCACCCAAGGCCACGCCGCAGAACTCCCTCTGCGCCCTGAGACCTGGGCCAGGGCTGTCGCTGTTCCCAGCCCTGTTAGCTGTGAGTCTGAGCCAGGAGGGGTGACAGCCACTGTCTCCCTCCCCCACTGCCCCCCACTGGCTGCTGGGGTGCGGTGTCAGCTTCAGTCAGCCCCATGGGAGGCCGTGACCACAGGCTCGTGGGAGGGCGTGGGGCGGAGCCCAGTTGGCCCTCGCAGGGCCATGGGCTTGTTGTTGGGGGGCCCTGCCACACAGCCTAAGCGGGTGCCGTACTCAACCAGCGTTAGAAGCAAGACAGACAAGGGTGAATAGGAGGGATCCCCCACAGTGCGGGTGGGAGAGAAGCTGTTATCCCAGCACTCTGGGAGGCTGAGGCAGGAGGGTCAAAAGCTCGATCCCAGCCTCGGCAATTTAATGACTTAGGAGACCCTGTCTCAAAATAAAAAATAGAAAATGCTCGGCATGGAGCTCAGTGCAGAGGCCCTGGGATCAATCTTGAGTACTGGAATAAAAAGTAGATTTAATATCAGCACACCAGGGTCTCGGGGGGTGTCTGGATGGCACAGGCCTCCTAGAGAGGTGACTTTGGAAATAGGGCCTGAAGGACGTGAGGGAAGAGTGGCAGAGAGGGAGGAGTGAGCCTGTGCTGGTCCAGATAGGGGTGAGGCCTGTGCAAAGGGCCTGGGGCTGCCTGAGATCACAGCTCAGCCCCACAGGACATGCCGGGTGCGGGACTGTGGGGCCGGGAGAGAGTGAGCCTGGCGCTGCCCGCCCTGCCTGGCTTTGGGAAGCAGCCTGGGAAGCTAGGCCCAGGGCCCGAGTCCCAGCCAGCCTCCCCACCCCCTCTGGCAGCCAGAGAAACCCGACTCGAGTGTGGGCGGGCGCTGTGCCAGGGCAGCGGGGGAGGGGCTGCCAGGCCCGCCCGCCCCGGCAGCTGCCAGCCCAGATGGTGCCCATGTGCTGACGCCGCCGCCCCGGGCCGGCCTCCCTCCCTCCCGTTCCCGCCTTGGCTGTGCCAGCCGCCATGGTGCAGTGGGGCCCAGGGGGTGGCGGGAGAATGGGCAGGGTCCACCCACCTGAGTGGGACAGTGACGCCTGCAGGGGTTGTGGCCTCGGCGAACGTGGAGTCCCAGCTCTGCTCATCTTTTTATTTTTGTTCACTTGCGGTGCTGGGGATGGAGCCCAGGGCCTCACACGTGCTCGGCAGGCCCGCATCCTTGAGCCGCACCCCATCGGCCTTGTACGTCCTGACCGTTTATGTCTCTCCTCGTCCTAGAGGGAGGAGCTCTCACTTTCTCCCAGGTTTCACTCGGAAGCAGAGGCTCGGAGGCGCCCAGCCACTTGCCTGAGGTCGCACAACTCTAAGAGGCACAGCTGGGACGAGAACCTCGGGGTCTTATAAAAAAGTGGGAGGCTGAGGCAGGAGGATCGCTGTGAGTTCAAGACCAGCGTGAAGTATTTAGTGAGACCCTGTCTCAAAAAAAAAAAAAAAAAAAAAAAAAGGATTGATGCCAGACATGGGGTGCACACCTGCCATCCCAGGGACTCAGGAGGCTGAGGCAGGAGCATTACAAGTATGAGGCCAACCTGGGCAACTAAGTGACTTAGCAAGACCATGCCGCAAAAGAAAAAGGGCTGAGAGCACAGCTCAGTGGTAGAGTGTTCCTGAGCTCCGTTCCCAGGACCACAAAGAACAAAAGAAAAGGATTGAAACTCTTTCAAAACCCCGAACAGAAAAAGGGCCCCTTTCTGGTTATCGGATAGAAGCCACACATACCCACAACACGGTGATAATAAGAAGCAGCCAGGCCGCAGCACGGATGAACTCGGGAATGGGGGCCAGGCGTGGGGCTGTGCTGTGTGACCTTGGGTAGAGCCCGGCCCTCTCTGGTCCCGGAGTGAGAAGGGGTACGTACTACTACCCCATGGACTGGAGTCGGTGATCCCCAGAAAGCATACAGAAGGTGCTCAATATAGGCTATTTCTTTGCCCCAGGAGGGAGCAGGGGAGTCTCCAGGCCTCCCTCTCACCCCAAGGAGCAGCAGGGGGCCGGCTGCAGGAGTCCTGGTGGCCACTGCTGATGGGACGTCATGGCAGGTGGGACTCTTTTTGCAGGAGCTCCCAGGATCCAGCCCCAGCACCAGAAAGAAATTAAAAAAAAAAAAAAACCTGAGATGGAAAAATTTAATTTTATCCCCATATTTTATCACAGTTTTCAAAAATTATGCTTTGTTAATAATCCCCCTTTTTTTTCCCCCTGAGAGAGCCTCTCACTCTGTAGCCCAAGCTGGCCTGTAACTTGAGGCGATCCTCCTGCCTCGGCCTCCTGAGTGCTGGGATGACAGGCCCGGGCCACCAAGCCCGGCTGCTAATACTCCTTGTAGCAGGAATAGTGCTGTTGCCTGGGCTGATCATAAACAAGTAATCCTATGTCCTCTAGGACAGTGCAATCATAAGAAAAATAGAAGGTGAGCATGGTAGGGGTATGCACCTGTCTGTAAGCTAAGGCAGGAGGATTGCAAGTTTGAAGCCAGCCTGGACAATTTAGCGATTTAGAGATCCAATCTCAAAAAAAAAAAAAAAAAAATGCCTGGGAAAGATAGCTTGGTGTGGAGGCCCTGGGTTCCATCCCCACTATTACAATCAAACAATTAATTGATCAATCATTCAATCAAGTTTGGTCAGTTGCTTTGGGGGATGTAGCTCAGTGGTTCCGCTGCCTGCCTCTCAAGCCCAAGGTCCCGACTTCAATCGTCAGTACCAAAAAAAAAAAAAAAAAGTTTGGTTAGTTGCAACAATAAAACAATATTGTTACCATTATCCTGGCTTCTCCTCTCCCAGGGCCTGCACCCTGAGCTCCATCCCCAGCCCTTTCTTTTTTTTGAGAGACAGTCTTGCTAAATTGCCTGGGCTGGATAGGAACTTGCAACCCTCCTGCCTCAGCCTCCCAAGTGCTGAGATGACAGGCATAGCTTGGTCCTCATCTGCTCATCTGCAAGAGCAGGAGGGTGTGAGGGGATTAAGTGCAGCAGCATTTCTGCCCAAACATCACCTTTCTGAACATTCTTGGATATTTTGTACTCCATGCTGGCCTCAGACTTGTGGGGATCCTCCTGCCTCAGCCTCTGAAGTGCTAGGATGACAAGATACATCTCTCTAAATTGCTCAGTTGCTCAGGCTGGCTTCCAATTTGAAATGCCAGGCGCTCTGGAAAGGTGGGCTGGGAGTGAGCAGTGACCCTGTCCCCGTGTGGCTCTGTCATCCAGGGGAACAACTGGCCCCTGGCCCCCGCCCCCAGGCAGATGGGATCGGTCCTGTGAGGGCAGCAGAGCAGGCAGGGGCACACACACCTGCGGCTGTCAGCCGGTGCAGTGTGTGAAGGCTGCAGTTGGCGCTCTGGCCCTGGGCCCAGGAGTGCAGGGGCACTGACAGCTGCCAGCCCAGCCCCTCTGCCTCCAACTGGGTGTGGACAGGAAGTCACAGATGGGTCGGCCTTGGGCAGGGGTGCTTGGTGGAAGGGGCACTTGGGGACACGGGGTGGCTCGTGCAGATGGGGAAACTGAGGCACTGAGCAGGATGGGGTGTGGGCCAGGGCTGGGGCCCTCTGTGTGGCCTCTGTGGTGACGGGTGCCCACACCCTGTGGGAGACTCAGGTGGATGTTAGGACAGATCTAGAAACCCCACCTTATGATCCGTTGCCTGGCTGGTTACCACTCCGGTCAGTGTCTGAGAAACCTGTAAGTGCACACTGGACGTCCGTGACCCGGTCCAGTTCGTAGCATTCGGTCTTTCACGCCCAAGGGCAGGTCCTGGGGTTTCTGGACCTGGGTTTCATCTTTGTAGCTTTGAATCAGGGTCTTACTATGTAGCCCAGTCTGGCCTGGAACTCAGTGGTCGTCCTGCCTCAGCCTCCCAAGTGCTGGGATCACAGACGAGCACCGCCAAGACCAGTTTGGAGCTGGGGGTTGGGTCGCCCCAGGCCCCGGGGCTGGAACCTGCTGGTTCTGACCCAGAAGCTCAGGGCCCAGGGACGGATCCCTTTAAAGCCTGAATGGTTGTGAGGGAGCCCGAGTGATCGCCGGCTTCCTCCCGGTGGGCGGACCTGGGGGAGGACTTCCCTCCAAGGCTTTGCTGCGGTTGCTTGCGGGTGGCCGCACCCGGCAGGAGGTGGCGCTGTCTTTGTTTGCGGGGACCCCCAGGGTGTTGGGGTCTCTCCCGGAAACCGGCCACATTTGACCTGTAAAGTTGCCATTATCATTAACTGCCTTGGACAGATGGGGAAACCGAGGCCCAGAGAGACAGTCACGCCCTTGACACAGCCGAGGGCAAGAGTGACGCCTACCATGGTCTCCTCGGGTGGGCTGGGCACTGGGGTGTCCGGGCTCCATCGCATATCCCCCAGAGTGTCCCCGGGTCCTGCCCCTGGCCCTAGAGCTCACTGGTGATGCTGACCAGCTGCAGGTCCGGTTGCATCAAGGAGCAGCTTTGGGGGCCCCCAGACTGGGTGGACAGCGGGGCTCAAAGACAGGACCTGGGCCAGCAGGGTGGTGGCCAAGGCCAGCGTCTCTGTCGTCTCTGCCCCTGGGCGTCCTGTCATCTCTTCTCCACCTGCCTGGCTCTCCCTGCGGCCCAGCGGGTCCCCTCCCTGCCCCCATCTGCCCGCCTGCCACCCGTGGGCTGCCCGGAGGTGGAGGCGGAGGCAGCCTGGGCAGCTGAATGGGCCCCTTGTTCCTGGCCACACCTTCCCTTTGGGGTCACCCTGGGACACTCTCGGGCTGCCTGCTGTCTTAAAGGGCCAGCACCCGAGAGGAGGGTGCGGGGAGGAGGGTGCGGGGAGGAGAGTGCGGGGAGGCCGGCCCCACAGCCCCGCCCCGCCCACCCCACCTCGCTGTCCGGCTGAGGGGAGCTGGGTGTTGACCCTGCAGGTGGGAGATCTGCCGAGGCCGAGGACAATCTTGGCTGTGTCGCCTCTGGCTGGGCCTCAGTTTCCCCAGTTAGATGGAGGGCTTCTTGCCCCCCCCATGGGTCGCTGGGCCAATTGACATTTTCAGGGACAGAATTTGTCACCAGGTACTGTTCTTGGGCTCACTGAGCAATAATAGAGCACCTGCTGTTTCCTTCCTGGGCTCACGGCCGTGTGGATGGGAAAATTGTTGGATCGTCTTCCCCTGGACCTCAGTTTCTCTGATGGAGAGGGAGGCAAAGGTGAAATCCCTTTGTCCAATTAAAGGGGCCTCTGAGCCGGGCGTGGTGATGTGTACTGAGAGGCTGAGGCGGGAGACTCTCCAGGAGTTTGAGTCCAGCCTGGGCTGCATCGTGAGACCCTGATTTAGAAAAAAAAAAAAGGGAGGGTTTAGAGCGGAGCCCTGCACGCTGCCAGGTGTTACCTGGGCTGCACTTATGGAGCACTAACTGCATACCAGCCCTCCAGGGAGAGCTGAAGGAAGCACCCACGAGTTTCTCCAGGCCTCGGGCACCGGTGCCCCAGGAAGGAGGCAGTAAAAGGGCCCCGTAGCACACTGCCCCTGGCTGCCCGCGTGTCTGTCTGTCCATACCTGGCGCG